ATGAGATAATAATATATAATAATAATATATAATAATGAGATAATAATATATAATATATATATATATATATATATATATATATATATATATATATATATATATATATATATATATATATATATATATATATATATACACACACACACCCACTCACCGGCCACTTTATTAGGTACACCTGTCTAACTGCTTGTTAATGCAAATTTCTAATCAGCCATTTCTGCTCACACATTCGGATGCTCGGCTCAGAATTTGGCCTCAACAACATGAAAGCATGGATCCATCCTGCTGACAAATCTGCAGCCACTGTGTGATGCTATCATGTCAATATGGAGCAAAATCTCTGAGGAATATGTCCAGTAGCTTGTTGAATCTACGCCATGAAGGATTAAGGCAGTTCTGAGGGCAAAAGGGATCCAACCCAGTACTAGGTGTACCTAATAAAGTGGCCAGTGATTATAAAAGAAATAAAAAAAATGTGTGTGTGTTTCTGCAGTTTTGGGACACAGCGTGGAGGAAGACGAGGCTGTGAATGCATCACTCTAGAGCCGTCAGAGATGATTGTGGTGAGTGGAGCAACACAAAGACACACACACACACACACACACACACATCCTCCAATAGCAGACGAAGATGAAGCTCAGGCTGACTGGACACAGGATGAAGCACACACACACACACACACACACACACATGCTTCCAAGACCATTCATCAGTAGGTAGTGTGTACTAAAGTGAGCACTAGTAAGGGCACTGATGAGCTTGGTTCACTACACTGAGTGTGACATGAGAGCGTCCTCATCACAACTGTCCATCATCAACACTGGAGTTCATAAACGAGCAACATTGAAACCATTAAACAGTTTTACCTGTTTGCTGGATTGTCTCTAACCTCACCTGTCTAGCTCTGTTTGTTCATGTGTAAATATTCATGTGTTTTGCAACATGTAATGAATTTGTGCTTTGCTGTGACTTACACTGGCCACATGAAGCCATCAGAGTGGACACAGAGGGGTGAACTGTGGCGCATCTTAGTGCACAATACAGTATATTATTATCTGTTAATGTGACTGAAAACCAAATATAAGATATAAGCAAAACTCTATATTTGAATTCTAAAGGCGATCCTTAATGTTACAGGAAAAGTAGAGCACTGTCTGCTATTCCCACAAGAGGGCGCAACCGAGCAAAATAAGCAGGCAAAAACAGATTAATGCATCACATCTATTAAAATGAAATGACGCTCACTTTTTAAAGCGCATAAACTTACAAACAACTGTTCTTAATAAAACACAATTTACTTAATGTGAATGAAAGGGAAATTAGGACTAAAGTAAACTGAAGCTATCGATTTTATTTATTATTTATTTTATTTTGGCTAGAATAAAAACAGTTGTTCATTGATTTAAAGCCATTTTAGGCTCAATATTATTGGCCCTTTCAGCAATATTAGTGTTGGATTTTCTCCAGAACAAACCACTGTTATACAATGACTTGCCTAATTACCCTAACTTTACCCTAATTACCCTAGTAAAGCCTTTACATGTCACTTTAAGCTGAACACTAGTGTCTTGAGGAATATCTAGTCTAATATTATGTGCTGTCATCATGGCAGAGAGACAATAAATCAGTTATTAGAGATGAGTTATTAACACTATTATGATTAGAAATGTGCTGAAGAAATCTGCTCTACGTTAAACAGAAATTGGGAAAATAAATATTCAGGATGGATAATCATTCTGTCTTCAACTGTGTGTACAATATAGAGTTTCAGTGATACTCTTCAGTCGAGTCATCATCCTCTTCTCTGTTCCTCTGGGTTCTGCAAACTCTTAAGTGGCATTTTCCATGAACACACACTTTTATCTGAAGTGACCTGCTAATGAGGAACTCCTTAAAGCCGCATGTGATGCTGTGTAGCCCGAACAGGCCATTTTAGTACAGTAGAGTTTCTGCAGACCTGTGAACAGCTCTCTGTATAACCCTGCTGCTGTCCACTAGACTTTTTCATTAGTGATGCACCAATCCTGATTTTCCATGGCGGATTTTGATATTTCTATTAGCAAATTGGATGATTTGATACATATTTTGGTCACACTTTACAATAAGGTTCATTAGTTAATGTTAATTAATGCCTTTACTAACATGAACAAACAATGAACAGTACATTTACTACAGTATTTGTTCATGTTAGTTAACATTAGTTAATGAAAATACAGTAGTTCATTGTTACTTCATGTTAACTCATGGTGCATTAACTAATGTTAACAAGCATGGACTTGGATGTTAATAATGCTTTAGTAAATGTTCAGTTATGATTAATAAATGCTGTACATGTGTTGTTCATGATTAGTTCATGTTAGTAAATGCATTAATAATGAACTTTATTGTAAAGTGTTTCCCATATTTTCTATGTTTTAGCAAAATCAGTGATTCGATAGCAATTTTTGTTTTTATTCACTAGCAAATTAAATTAGATTTGTTACAGATTTCTGATGTTTTACTCAGATACTTTTTACTTAGATATTTTTACTAGCAAACTAGACAATTTACTACATATTTTTGAGGTTTTACTCACAAAATGAATGATTTGATTACATTTTTGATGTTTTACTAGCAAATTGGATGATTCAATACAGATTTCCAATGTTTTACTAGCAAATTTGGATGATTTAGTACCAATTCTTTATGTTTTTACTTAGAAATTAGACGATTTGATACAGATTTTTGATGTTTTTACACACAAATACTAGGGCAGCACAATAAATATGCAGTCTCGCAATGTGATCAATACGTTATATGCCGAGCTAGTGTTTTTCCCATACTGATTAACTTCCGGTGACCTGTTATTGTGAACTTTTTTCCTTGTTATATGGTTCCTTTTACAGCATTGATGTTGTAATGTCATTAAAATACATTCAGTTAAATAAACTTTGGCATTCATTTAGTTGCTCAAGCAAAAAAAACGAGACATAAAAGCCATATACTCGCACGCGTTTGTCAGAATCGGCAGGCTAGTGCAGAAATTCCATTAAATATACTGGGCTAAAATAAATGCTCTATTATAAGGACATGGCGGGGGGAAATGTAATGTAATGCAGTGCTTCTTGTACAATCTGAGACCCACTTTATATCAGATATCACTCAGCTAGTGGAGATCGCTGATTTTTAAAGGAAACAGACCTTAAACGCGACAGTCTTTTTGCATTGGCAAACAGTACACCGGAAGTGCTTAATCCAGGTTACTGGCAAATTAAAAGTCCTATTAGCAAGCTTCAGCATATACCCTCTTCACAATAGTCACATCGCAGAATATGCAGTGTTGAGTCTGCATTATAGTTGATCATTTTGCATGTGTGTTTTAAGGCCTGTGAATGTAAAAGGGTTTTAACAGCATTCAGCATAGGAAACTCTACCGTTTATAACTCAGAAAAGTTGATTGATTTTGCAGATGCACTGCCCAGATGAAAAAACCCACAAACATTGAGCAAAACCCTTCAATTCTCCTGCAAAATCAGCTTTCCATTCAAAACAATGTGATTTCTTTTAAAAATGGTGTTTTGTTTTCAAATGACACGCACAAGCCATAACATCAGTA